CATCAAGGTAGGAGGGACACAAAATTAATAGGGACCCCAAGCTTGTAGGGATGTCAAGTGAGTGTGGGGTCACCAACTGAGTGGGGAAATCAAGTTTGAAGGGACACCAAGACTTTAAGGAACACAAAGCTAACAGGGACACCGAGGGAGCGGGGACACAGAGCTCAGAAGGACACCAAGCTTGAAGGGACCCAAAACTAATAAGGGACCCCAAGCTCACAGAGACACCACACGAGTGGGGACACCAAGATGGGAAGGACACCAAGATGATGGAAAGGGCACCAAGATGGGAAGGGCACCAAGATGATGGGAAGGGCACCAAGATGATGGAAAGGGCACCAAGCTCTCAGGGGCTCTGATCTCCAGGGTCACCAAACCCCCTGAGATGGCAGTGGGGGTTGCAGGGGGACAGACGGGCGGCACTCACAGCCGGTGCTGTGCCGTGTGCGGGTGTTGGGCCCCTTAGTCAGGCTGTGTCACCGGACCCATTGAATCACTGGAAAATCCGGCAGGGCGGGCTGTCACCAACCCATAGTGACCCCGGTGCCAGCACCGGGCACAGCTCTACATCCCTGCAGGCTTGGTGTTGGCATGGAGATCTCCTTTAGGGTCTGCTTGTCCTCCATCCCCGCCGCCGCCCTCGCCGCCGGCCCCTCTCCTCGCGCCGTGCCCGCGTGCGCTCCATGCGCTCCATGCGGGCGCTGAGCTTGGCCACGAAGCGGGCGTAATTCCACAGCACGCGGCAACCCTGCAGCTTCTGCTGGAACACCTTGCTGGCCGCCGGCCCCCGGGATGGAGGGATGGTGGAGGGGACGATGCCACGGGCCTCCATGGTGTCGTGCAGGTGGGCCAGCAGCCCGCGCACCTTCATGCGGGCGCTGCGGAGGCGGTGCAGGATGGTGGCATCGGGTGGATGGAGATTGCTCTGGTGCTGGAAAATGTCCTGCAGCTCCCGCTCCATGCGGGTCATGGTGCTGTGCAGTGCCCGCAGATCCTTCTCTCTTGACCCCAAAGTCCCCCGCAGCCACTCCAGCGAGCTGTTGGCCCGGCACAAGTTGTGGGCCAGGTGCTGTTCCTGTTCCTGCTTGCGGGAAAGGCAGTGGGGTTACTGGGGGGAATGGGGTTGTTGTGGGAATGAGGTTACTAGGGGGATTGTCCGCCCTCCCCCGCTGCCCCCAGCCCCAGGAGGTGGCACTCACGTAGAGTTTGAAGAGCTCCTGTGCATCCTCGGCCATGTGCCGCAGCAAGGCCTGGGTCTGCTGCGGGGATGGGGGCTGAGTGCTGTGTGCAGGCACGGCCCAGAGCAGGAGGAGTCCCTTGGCAACGGCTGGGGAGGAAGAGGAGGGAGATGGTGAGGATATGGGGATAAAGCAATGTGGGATGAGGGGATACGGGGATGGGCGGCAGTGATAGCGTGGGGATGTTGCAGGGAGAGCTGGGGGCATCCACAATGGGAACGGCCATCCCATCAGCCCATACACTGGTGCTGGGCCCAGAGGGGAGAACCGTGAGTGCCGGGCACAGTGGTGAGGTCCTGACCCTGGGACAAAGCCATCCCTGTCTTAGGGGCCAGCTGCTGGGACCTGGCAGAGCCCTTGGCACAGAGAGGAGGAATATCGGGGAGAGGGAGAGGAGGAGAAAGGTACACTCAAGGCACAGAGGAACACACTCACACAGAGGAACACAGTTCATAGAATCATAGGATTGCTCAGGTTGGATGCTATCCATGCAGCTTCCTGCCAGCACAGGCCAACGTGGAGCCACCAGGCAGTGACAACCCTACATCTGTCTCTTTGGCTCCAGGTTGGCTCAGCCCTGCTGTCACCCACATCCACGTGGGGTCAGTGACAGAGCAGCACCCGGCCCTACCGAGCTGGGTTTGTGGTTGGGGAACACGCCTGTAAAGCAGAGAGACCCCATCCCTCCACCACCTGCAGCCACCCTGCTCCCAAACCGACCTCAAACCACATCCCCTCACCCACACCCTCCCAGCACCCCATCTTCAAGGGAAGCCCCGCGAGGGTTCCCTAGGAAGAACCGACCCCATCTGCACACCCAGGGCCTTTGGGGAGCACCACGGCCAGGAGCAGTGCTGCCCCATGGATGGAGGTGCGAGCAAGAGGGCAGTTGTGGGACGCTGGTGAGCACCTACCTGCCAGCACACCCAGGGGCCGCGCGTTGTGCCGCATGTCCGGGTGCCGCCGAGCGGTGCTGCAGGGTGCGCGAGCGACTTCCTTACTGGCCAGCAATGGGGAAGCAGTGCCTTTTTAAGTGCACTGATTAGCCACCACCTCCGAAGGAGGCACCCAGACCCAACGGAAAGAAAGAGAGAAGTGAAGAGATGACTGGGGGACCAATGAGCGGGGCGTGCCAGGCTGCAGGGAGGAAATGATGCCAGCTGGACGATGGTTTTGTTCTTCGATTCAGTTCCTCGAGGGAGTCCTCATAGGTCCATCCCGAGCACGGAGTGAGCTGGGTGCCTGGGGCATCGTGCAGAGCTTCTTATGGAAGCACATCGTTAAGTCACCCGGGTCTGCATCTCTCTTGCTCCGTGTTCATTAAACTGCAATCAGCCTCTGAAATCAATATTCAGCCAATAGAGGCTGTTGGCAGCATCGGTGCCAGCTCTGGAGCCTGGGGTCGAGGTGGCACCTGCAGTCTGCCCCTGTCCCCGGGGTGCACCTATGGGGCTGGCACCTTGCCACCCCATCTCACACCTCTGGTGGAAGTGTGAACAACTCTGACCGCAGCCTGGTGCCGGGGTTTCACCCAATGGTGCAGTACTGCAGGGCTGCAGACAAGACGTGGGTGCCAGGTTGGATGGGGACAGCAGATTGGGGCAACGCAGTGCGCAGCGGGATGATTCAGAGACTGCTCCAGACCTCAGCACTCAGCAATGCCACGGGATGCTCAGCCTGTCTGCCTGTCTGCAATCTCTCCTCGGTCGATGGGGACACCCCAAATCCAAGGATACCACTCAGGGCAGAAGGGTGCATGATGCTGGTGGTGGGGACATGAGTACTGTGCACGGCACCGGGCTGGCTCAGCTCTGGTTTGATCAGCCAGGACCTGTGGTAGGGTGCTAAAAGGAAGGGATGCAGCCGTTCCCATTGCTACACTGCACGCAACACGTGCAGGGAAGGAAGTGCAATCAGCTGGGGGTCATCAGCAGTACCAGTTGCTGTACAAAGTCTGTTTTCTGTCTGACAGAGTCCTGCAGGGTCACGGTTATGGAGTGGGCACTGCATCACAGCCACAGCCCAAGCTGCTTTTGCTTTGCAGCGGAGCATCAGAGGATGCTGACACATCCTGTTGAACTTAATGCCATTTATGAGATTTATTATTGGTATAATCCATCAGATTTTTGTGAAGAGTGACAGCAAACCCATCCAAAGTGGGGCGATGCCACCATGTGGTTCCCAAGCCTGAAGCTCTTCTTCTTCAGCTCCCGATTTAGGGAGGATCATAGACATGACACCACTGCAGTCCCACCCTTTGCCACATGGCCCCAAAATGTGCAGAATTTGCATGTCAAAACCCTGGATCATGGCCAATCCGTGCCAGCTGGGAACAAATCGCTTCCCTTCCCTGGGTTTCAGCCCTGAAAAAGGGCCAGCAGTCCTCTGCTTCTGAGTACAGGAAGCTGCCCACAGCAGAAGTTGGTTTCGCATGGGGTGGCTCAGGCAAGAGGAGGACACTCCTGAAATAACATCTCCTTGCGAGCGGAAGAGCGCAACACTGACTCACTTCCAGAAAACGAAGTATTCTTTTCCCCAAATTTCTCCCTCCCCTCCCATTGCCCCCAGCCCGCAGAACTCCCTGCTGCAGGACACAGGGTGGCACTGCCTCCTTGGCCTTGTTTCCATCCTCCTCGAGGTGTCCCTGCCCGAGGACACCCATGGGTGTTGGCCAGGCTGGGTTCTGCCTTGTGGGGCCAGGAGCTGGAGGGCAGCTCTTGAAGGGATGGAGGAGGAAGAACGCCCTTCTTTCCAGGAGAAACTCCTCCAGAATGGAGGCAGCTTGTCTGTCTGTCCATGTAGTCAAAGGGCCTGCCTTGTCTCTCCATCTATCCATTAGTCCATCCAGCTATCTGTCCATCTGTCCGTACCATCACCCCTCTGGATATTCATCCACCCAGTTCTCCATTCTTTTACCTGTCCACCCACCCACCCACCCATCCATCCATCCATCCATCCATGCACCCACCCACCCTCTCACTGACACATCCCCCAACTCATCTGTCCATCCATCCATCCATCCATCTAATAATCTCTGCTCATCTCTCCTCTCTCACATCCATCCATCACCCATCCATCCATCCACCCTCAGGCCCACAGCCCTGCAGGGCTCACCATACCAGTACAGAACCCTGACCAAGTCACTGAGACCATGCAGGCAGAGGACACCCCGGCACCACCACTCTGCACCACCCCACTCCAGGACTTCACAGGGTCCCCACAGGCCATGATGAGGACTCAGCAATCACCGCCACCAACAGCTGGTGGCCTTTGGGGACAATGTGCAGGGATATGCAATATCCAACGGGGCTGAAAATAGAGCGTGTGACCACATTGGCTGACTGCAATTTCTTCATCTCTGGGGCTCACGTCACTGCTGTCTTATGACTCCTGGAAAACAGAGAGTGGGACAGGAAAGAGCCCGGAGACGTCGCAGGAAGCCGAGGGCTCACAGCTGTACGCAGTGGAGACACGCAGGGATGTAGGATGAGTGCTGGTCCCTGCTGGGCGAGGGACCCTGCTGCTATTCATAGTGGTGGTGTCAGGATGGTGGCAGCCGTCTGGCCCGACTTCCTGCCCCAAATGTGTCACAGGACTGTCCCGAGCGTGTCCCCATCCCCTGGGTGACATCAGTGCAGTGAAACCATCACCTGCTGTGCTGCATCCCGGGCGGCTGCAATGGGGACAGAAGTGTCACCATGCTGCTGCTTGGGGACAGGTTGTAGGGTGGCCCCAGCTGCAGCCAAGGTGTACTCAGAAAAAGAACACAAAAAATAGGACTTTTATTGACATTAAAAAGTGTGTAACAGCTTGAAAGGAGCTGGGGAGCCACCGTTGCCCACCCTACAATACAAAATGGCTGGGACACCAGGTCATCCCAGGGCTGTAGTGCTGCCCTGACCCCCCTGCAGCCCTTAGGAGCATCACAGCCACCACCCCACACTGACACCCATATGGGGACAGGCAGCACATGCTGTCACCTCTGCTGGGGCCGTGGCACATCATTGCTCTGGGGCATGCAGGCCCCTGCTCCCCACCACCCCAATCCCCTCAATGGCACCCTCTGCACCCTGAGAACACCGGGCAGGAGCCCAAGGCAGAGGAAGGCACGATGCTGCCCTCTGCAACTAACACTGTCACAGCAGTGTCCCCCTGTGTGTCCCCTCCATGGGCAGAGTGATGCTGAGCCACCGGGCTCTGCCCAGCACCAGGGAAAGGCTTAAGAATGAGGACCAACAAACACCGTGCTGGGGACAGCCCTGTGCAGGAGGGGACTGGCACGGTGTCACCGCACACCTGGCCACTATCTGCTGCTCTCCTGGCGCTTCTGCAGCAGCTCGATGACCTCTGTGATGCCTTCCTCAGGGACCTGTGGGGACAGAGAACTGTCAGCCCCACTGGGGGACACGGGGAAGCTGTGGTGCTGGGTGCTGGACTCACCAACGCGTGGTCGAAGTTGAAGGTGCTGATATAATAGGCTGAGATGTCAACAGCAGCCAGAGGCTCGGCGATCTGTGCCACGATGCCACACTCATCTGGGGAGGCAACGAGACCGTGGTGTCACCAACACGGTGACACACAGCAGTGGCAGAGGAGGGGTCCCCAAATCCCCGTACCCCATGCAGACCCGCGGTGGCACTCACCAAAGCCCAGGGGCTGCCCACCGATCCTCACCATCCGCCAGAGCTCCCCGCTGGAGCTGGTGAGCAGCAGGTCGCTGGGGAACCTAAAAAGGGGGGAAGTGAGCATGGCAGACCCCCAGTGCTGGGCGGGGGCACCCAGGGACAGCACCTACTGCTTCTGGGTCTCTGCATCCATTACGATGGAGATGTAGCCCTCTATGAGCGAGAAGGAGAAGAAGGTGATGGAGTCGAGGTCACCGGCACCGGGTTCCTTGGGGGGGCTGTGGGGAGAGGATGGCACAAGGACCTCGAATCAGGAAAAGTGTGCCATTGGGACAGCTCCAAGGGTGCCTTTGGGGCATCTCAGTGTCACCCAGGGGTGCCTCAAGATGGGAACAGGGTTGGCAAACTTGGGCAGCTGAGTTTGCAGGGGGTGGGTGCCCACCCCGTTTACAAAGAAACCCTTCTCTCTTTCACTTTGTGTGGCTGCACCACATGGCTTGTCTCCCCAGGGCTCCTGTCCACAGAGGTGGGAGCAGGGCTGGCAGCACCCAACAGTGGCAAAAAGTTACAAAATGCACGGGGAAGTCAAAAAGTGAATGAGTGAGTGAGGCACGAGGGGTGACACTGGTGTCCCCAGCGCTGTCACTCACCTGTGGGAGTAGAAGAGGACGTCGATGAGCATGGTGGCGATGGCAGGCAGCGTGTCGGGTGCCACCGTCAGGATGCAGAAGCGGTTCTGAGGGCTCTGCACGGGGTGCAGCGTGGGGCTGGGGGCTGCGGGGCAGAGCCACCAGCTGTCACCGGTGCCCTTGGGGACAGCACCGCAGTGCCACCACGTGGCCGCCGGGGCCAGCAGCGTCCCCCGGGGCACCGCAGGACGCCAAAAACGCAGGGGATCCCAAAGCACGGGGGTGTCTGCAACGGAGCATCCCTTGGGCACTGTGCCACCTGGGGACGAGGTGGCCTCGGGGACATCCTGGAGCCACTCACCCGACTTGGGCTTGAGGAACCCATTGCTGGCATCATCACATGGGACTGGGATGGATTCACCATTCTCCTCCTTGTAGATGTCAAACTCCCCAGCCAAGGTGTGAATGACCACAGGCAGGTCCCGCTCCCGCACCTGGCAGCGGCGCGGCGTCACCGTGGCTGTCCCCAAAAATCAGTGGGGTCCCCACCATCTCCCACACAGCCCCAGGGCCACGTGGCACTGTCCCCACTGAGCTCACCAGGATGAAGTCTGTCTGGTAGGTGGAGAGCATCAGCACTGAGACGTGGTGCTCGGCCAGCGGCGCGATGACGGAGCGGGCGATCTTGGTGACGCCGGTGGCCTGGCAGCCGGAGGGCGCACAGCCGTTGGAGACGACGCTGAGCACCAACCATGTTGAGTCTGCCACCTGCATGAACTCGGAGGGCGGCAGCTCTGTGTGGGAGAGGGGAAACTGAGTTATGATACGGAGCTGTGCTGTGTCCCCAAACCTGCCGGGACACCAGCAAGAGGGGACAACGGGGACCGATCGTGCAAGGCTGGTGCTGGAGGGAGCAATGGCCTGCTGGGGACAGAGTAAGGGATACAGGATGGGGTGCTGAGGGTGGCTGCTTGGGGACAGCAAGGAGATTGTGCCCAAGGCACCACAGGTAACACTATGTACATCCCTGCTCTGATGGCAGCCGAGTGCCAGCATATGGGGAAATGATTCAGTGTTGTCCCCATGCAGCAAGGGGCAGTGTCAGCTCCACACATGGGGCTGGGAATGCTGATACTAGAGACAAACCTTCCGAATCTGGGATGTGCCTCTTGTCCTGCACTTGCAGAGCTGGCTGCAAATGGGTGCAGCACACTAAGACCCTGAGGCTGTACACATCTCCCACCCCATCCTCTGTCCCTATGTCACACTGGAGGGGACGTGGGACGGCCTCACACCGTGCCCAGCTCTGACAAGCCACAATCCATGAGGTTGAGCCCATGCTGGCGGGAGGCCAGGGCTGCCTCCCAAAAAGCTGCTGTTGTTGGCAGGGAATGAGTGTGCCGGCCGGTTCCTTCCTGCCCCACACCCGCTCCCCAGGAAGGAACGGATCAGGGCCACGCTGTTCCTTCGGCACCCCATGTTCCCAAGTGGGCACCCCCAGACCTCACTGCCCAGTGCTCAGCAGCAGCCAGGCAGCACTGGGCTGAGAACACCCAGCTCATTGCAGTGATGAGGGAGGAGTGAGGCTGGATCCGGAGTTCCCAAGCCCAGGGTGCTGGCAGCCGCCTGTTCCTGCACAGGAAGCACTCCCGAGGACGGGGACCGTGGGGCCACATCCCCACTTAATGGCTTTTCAACACCCATAGGAACCGGGGGCCACAGGGGGGGGCTGGGACCACATGGGTGCCCCCAGATGTCCCCACGCTTTGGGGAGCAGCCGGCCCCAGATCCTCGCCCAGCCCCAAAGCCGTGAATTATAACACAGGGGTACAGCAGGGCCCCACGGGGTGCCCCGGGGGTGCTGGCAGCCCCCCAGCCCGGCGCCGTGCAGCGCCTCACAGCCATTGTTTGCTGCTTCCCGCCCGCCCCTCGGGATCGAGGAGCATTTGTCCATAAGGCCCCGAATAAAACAATGTGTGGGGATCGGCCCCGGTTCCTCCGGACGGCAGTGGGGAGCCGGGCTGCAGCCTGGTGGGAGCGTCGCACTGCGGCCGAGCTGCTGACCTTTGCTCCTCGGGGCGTGAGCAGGAGATACAGCCCGGCTGGGGGGGTTTGGAGCACAGGATGGGGTCAGGATGTGCCCCCCAGCACAGCCCGTGGGGTCAGACCCCTGCAGCAGGGCTGTACACATAGGTCACTGCACGGGGATATCGCCCGGTGCCACCTTCAGGGAGAGGGACTGACTTGGAAGGGCTCAAAGACCCCCAGCACGCCCCGATGGTGGGATATGGGGATGTAGGGATATGGGGATATGAGGATATGGGGATAAGGGGACAGGCAGCATTCCCACTCCCCACCCCATCCCACTGCAGAGGCACAGCCGCGTCCCCGTGACTGTGGGCAGCACCGGAGCAGCCAAACTGGGAGAACCTGAGCAGGGCAGCTCCCTGCTGACCGCAGAGCTGCGAGCATCACCCAGCTGAGGCCGGCCACAACTCACGGCCACGGTGGCAGTACCTTTGAAGCCCTCTTCGTCCAGCATGATGGTGTAATCCTCGGGGGTCTCGGTCAGGCTGAAGAACTTACACCTGCCGGGACACAACGCGGTGCGGTAGGAGCGAGAGGAGGAGGAGGAGGAAAGGGTGAGGAAGGGGAGCGGTACCTGCAGCGCTGCGGCAAGAAGAGCAGTTTGAGCAGCGGGTGGGTGTAGAGCCACAGCCCGCGGCGCGCCAGGGACAGCACCCGAACGCGGTGCTCCAAGATGTGAAGGTCCATGGCGGCCGCGCCGCGACGGGACGGGGCTTCGTGGGGCTATAAGGGCCGAACGGGACCGGACCGCCCCGTCCCGGCACCGCCCCGGCACCGCCCCGGGATGCGGGAGGGGCACCCGCCCGCCCCGCCCCGTCCCGCAACGCTTTGAGGAGCTTTGGCCCCGTATTCATCCAAGCCGGGAGGGTTCGGGACCAGCGGATTTCAAGGGAGGGGTGGGATGCAGGAACACGGGATCTTTCCCGCAGCCGCTCCTTCGTGGGAAGATGGATTTTGGAAAAGGGGAGTGGAAGTTTTTGCATCATTCCTGCCTGCAGGGAGCACCATTTTGTACGTGGAAAGCAGAGAACTGAGGCTGGGGAAGGAAGGCAGGGGGAGCCGAGCTGTTCCCGGCTCTGCTGGGAGATGGGCGGCCGGCCGAGAAGCCCCGGGGCTGGAGGTGACCTCCAGGTGCGTCAGCAGGGCTCGGCGTCTCTCATCTGCGCTTCAAACGGCGTTGGCCCCTGGGGCGGGGAGGGGTAGCAAGGTGGGTCACCTCCCTGCTATGTCCCCACCGTGCCCCTTTCCGGGACACTGGGGTGGGACAAGGGACAGCCACGCTGATCATCGCATGAGATGCACAAGAGTTTTCCCCTATTTATAGGGATGCTGCCACTAAGCGATGCCACCTCTGTCCCCGCAGCCACCAACAGGCAGGGAAGTGAGGCCCCAAACCACACTCTGCGTGGACACGGAGCGTGAGCAAGAGCTGGGAGGGGATGGAGCAGCCCTGTCCCCCCCCCATGGCACCCAAGAGAGACGTTGAACCCAGGGAGCCGCACACGCTGCGCCTTTACACAATCCTGCTTTATTTCCCCTTTGTACAAAACCACGTTGCCCCGCTGTATTTTACAAAGCCTCCCCCTGCCCACGGCGAGGGGTAGGGGGGATAAGGGGGGACCCCGCAGCAGGCAGCACCCCCAGCCCCGGCTCACCTCGGCCCTGCAGGGCACGGGGTCTGCCATCGAATCCTGCTGCCTCTGGTGCGTCCCGCCTGCAGTTCCCAACCTCGGCCCCCAGCCTGCAAGAGTTACTGCCACGGAGGAATAATAAATAGGCTCAGTGAATAGGTAAATTCATACTACATATTGGGCTACAGCTTGATACATCCTCACTAGATAAAGAGGAGGGGAAGGGGGGGCAGCGGCTGCTCCCGACTCCTCACGTACCCCCAGCCCCAAGAAATGGGGAACTGGGTCTGGGTTTGCCCCGACAGCGTGGGGTGGGCAGGGGATGGGGATAGGGATGCAGGGGACGTGGGGTGAAGGGATGAGGAGGGGGGCTCATGCCTGGCCCCTGAGGGGCGGCAGGGGAGCTCGGGTGGCTCAGCCACCCCGTGCCAGGGCTCCCACCACCGTGGTGCCAGCACCCTGCAGGGCTGGGGACAGCATGGCTGGATGCGTCCCCATGTCACCGCGCTGGGTTGAGCTCCCGCCGGTCACCCCACGGGACCCTAAATGGGCACCCAGACGGTGCCCCCACGGTGCCACACGAGCCCACATCGGCCACGTTCTGCTCCCTCCAGCCCCAAGCCCCCGTCGCCAGGCGCCACGAGGGTCCCCTCCCACCCTGGGGTCCCCTCCTGCCCTCGGCCACAGAGGGAACAGCGTCCTGGAGCCCGGGTCCGAACACAGCCCAGCTGAGCCCGGCCGTGGGGCTGTGCCGGCCCTACAAGTACGTGTCCTCGCTCTCCCGTGAGCACAAGCTCTCCTTGGACTGGTGGTGGGGGGAGCTCTGGGGGTGCAGCAGCTCACGGGCAGAGCCGGGAGCCCCGTTGCCCTCAGCCCCGGGGCTGTTGGTGGGACTGCTGGAGGCCTTCTCACGGTTTTTCTCCTTGCTCTTACGGGCCTTGGGCACCGGGGCGGGCCCGGGGGGGACGATGATGGAGGGCACGGGCTCCAGTGCCTTGCGGGTGGGGGGCTCGGCCTCGCTGATGGCCTTGGCACCGTGCAGGCGCGGGGGGGACTTGCACTGCAGCTCCCCATGTGTCTCACGCCACTTCTTCAGCTGGATCAGGTGCTCCCTCTCAATCTGCCGCTCTGTCACCGGCAGCTCGATCACCTGCAGGGAGAGAGCTGTGCTGCCAACGTCTTTCCCTCGGTGCTGGTGCCACCCCCCAGGAGCAGAGGAACCCCTAAACCCAGGTAATATGGGGGACATGAGCTCTGCCCACCCACGGACACCCAGCCCCAGCACGGCACCGGGCCCCACAGCACCTCACCTCCTGCACCAGGAAGGTCTCCTGCATGATCTTGGGGCTGAGGGCCCTCAGCCGCTCCATGGTCTCATACTGGCCCTGGCATGACTTGAGCTTGTCTGAGGAGCCCAGAGTGTGTTTGAGCAGCACCAGGCCCACACGAAAAATGATCTTCACCCCTGGAAGAGGAGAAGTGAGGCAGCGAGTGGCAAGTGGGACAGGAGGATACGGCGTGTGGGACAGGAGGACACCTGCTGAGCTGGGACACAGCACACGGCCAGCAGGTGCTGCTAGCAGCCAGGCACACGAGGATAAACACTGGTATTTGGGACAATACAGCCCATTGCGAGTTTATTTGTATAAGCACTGATGCAAGCTAACTGGAAGGACACCTCCCATCAGCTCAGGCTGCTCAGCCCCACCCAGCCTGGCCTCACCACTAGGGATGGGGAACCCACAGTTACACAGATGGGCAGTCCGAGCCAGGGCCTTACTACCCTCTAAGCAAAAAGCTTCTTCCAAATATCTCATTCAATCTCTCCCCTTTTAGTTCAAAGCCATTACAGTCTGTCCTATCACTTCACTCCCTACAGCCCTTTAGGTACTGGAAGGCCTCAACAAGGTCTCCCTGGCACCTTTCCTTCTCCAGGCTGAATCACCCCCCAGCAGAGGCTGTCCTGTGCCATGTCCCATCCCCCCAGGAGGACGCAGCCCTTACCTTCACAGAAGAACATGTCCCAGACACGCAGCACGGAGCTCCAGGGCAGCGTGCGAGAGAAGGCGCACATGAACCACTCCGTCATGTACAGGATGGGGTCAATCTTCTGCTTGCTCAGATGCTTGTAGGCCACGGGTGAGACCTTGTGCAGCAGCGAGAAGAGGATCTGCCCGTCCAGCTGGATGGCCTCCTGCAGGGACAGAACTGAATGACTCCAGACCTTCTGGCTCAGCCCTGGGATCAGCTTCCCTACGCCTGGCCGCTGTCCACCAGGACGACCACTGTTAAATCTGTGCCCCATGGACAATGACAGCAAAGCTACTCTGAGCTTTGAGTGTGGGAGCGCCCACACACCCCTTCTTGCTCTGTGGACGGAGCTGTGGGCCCCTCACTCACCAGCTTCTCACTGTAGTAGCCGGGGAGGTACTTCTCACAGATCTGCACCAGGCACCAGAATGCTTGCTGCAAGCCAAGGGACAGCAGGTGAGCTGCAGGCACCACCAGGGGACAGCCCTGCAGCCCCGTTTTGCTCCAAGGCTCTGCTCGGAGCACGCCGGGGCTGAGGGCTGTGCTTTGGGGTAATGCAGTGTCATGCACTGAGCACTGTGCCCAGCGGCACCGCCCCACTGCTGCCAGGTCCCCCCCATACCTCGGCTGGCATGTGCATGAGCAGGACAGCAGCAATTGGGGCCTGGGCCTGGCAGTAGCCCTCCTCTGGGCGGTACAGTGTGTAGGCCTTCAGCACTCGAAACAGGTCCTGCTGCCTGCAGGAGGGAGGAGATGTGAAGAGGGGCATCGACGCAGCCCAGCCACCTCCCCACAGACCCAAACTGACACCACGGTCAGCCCATCTCCCCCCAGCACTCAGCCCATGGGCTGGGATTCATCCTCCACAAAACCAAAGCCACAGTTCCATTCCAGGTGCAGCTGCTCCACTTACCCGTGGCCTCCACGTGAGACAAACATCTCATGGAAGGGGAACTGCCGATGGAGATCCCGCTCGATCACATCCAACCACTTGGGCTCCCCCGGGAGGAGATCCAGCTCCTGGGAGAAGAAAGTCGAGGTGAGAGCACCAACCAAGTAGCAGCCCCATTCCAGCACCAGCGGGGTGTGTATGGAGCTGGAGCTACCCCAAACATCTGCCTCATCAGCTCATGCTGCTTGGGGTGCTCATCAGAGCTGCAGGCAAAGGAAGGTCCCCAGTCACACTCACATCAAACTTGCCAACGTTCTGCTCCAGCTTGACCTTGCTGCCGGAGAGGTACTGCCACGCTCGGCCCCGCAACGAGGGTGGGATCCCCTTTTGGCACCGCAGCCGGATCTGTGCAGGGAACAAAGCTGTCAGGGGAGCTGCAGAGCAGCAAGGAGCACCAAGAGTCCCAGGGCAAGACGTGGGTCAGGCCAGCATTGCAATCCCCATACCAGATGTGTCCTTGTACCACTGGGGACAGGGTGCCCAGCCACGTGCTGTGCTGACACACCTGGCCAGTCCGGGGTCTCCTCAGCCCCTTCTCCCCAGCCCTGCTCTCAGCATGCCAGTAAGACAGAGCTGCAGGGAGGTGCCTGGAGCTGGCTGAGGCCATGCAGCCCGCAAACAGCTCCCAACAAGCCTAGCTCTGCCTCAGAGCAACTGGAAGAGCAAACGTCATAGCCAAGCAGGGAGCGGCTGGCTCCTTCCCCACACCACCATGGCCCAGGCAGAAGAGAGGACTCCACAGCCCTACCACGGCCCTGGGGCAGAAGGGGCAGGCTCTGAGCCCCCGTGCTCTGTGCACAGCCAGCCCCAGGTTTCCTTGGCACCGGCCAGAACAAAGTCCAGGCCGGGCAGCGTGGGTGCCAGCTCTGCAGCACAGAGCAGACACACTTAACCCTGCAGCTGCCACCTGAAGCCAGGCTGCGTCCTTTCCTGCTCCCGTCCTGCCCCAGCCCTGGTGAAGCAGTGCCATGATCTCCCTGTGGTCCCATGAGTTGGACACTTGGAGCACAAAGCCCCGCACAGTTCCAACACAATCCCCTTGCCTCACTTCCTCGCTTGGGTGGCACACACCCCGTGCCCAAGCAGTGCCAGGGCTCTGCATGCTGCAGCCAGCAGCTCCCTGAGGCACCGCAGCCCTGGGCACCGC